CGGAGCTCTGCTCCTGTGTGCTCCTGCAGGAAATGACCCCAGCCCATTGAAGTCCCTCCCCTCTCAAACCCCACCCTCCTCAGGCTCCACCCCCTGAATCTCCAAGTGTTTCCAAACCCTGAGTGGGCAACCTGACTGCCAACAGGAGCGGCAGTCCTGATCCTCAAGGAACAAGGAGGAGAGAGAGAAGGGAAGGAGAGAGAAGGGGAGGCAGACATGCACACAACAGAAGGAGGGACTCCAGATTGTGCTATTTCTCTTATGGGCAGGACCGTCGCTACAGTGGGGCTTTTGGGGGGGCTCTGCCCCCTTTCTTAAAGACACAGCCCCCCCACAAGAATTTCTCCTGTAAATGCTTTTTTCAATCGTTTTTAGACATTTTTAAAAGGCTTGCACTCCTTTAAGCGGAGTGGGGTGCTGCAGTTGACTGATTCCCACATTGAGTGAGGGGGTTGGAGTGGGTGACCTCCAGGATCCCTTCTGACTCTGTGTCAAGACACTGGTCTCCTTTAAGAGAGTTTTTCTGCTTAAGTGTTAGCTTTCTTGACGATAGAAGTCATCAACCTCACCTGCCAGCTTGTTCTCAGAATTGTTTCTTCGACTGGCAGGAGTGATTAACTTGCAGCCGCTGAGAACCGTCCTCTAAAGTGGTCGACAGCTTGCAATTTAGAAATCTATCCTGGTCACAGCTTTCTGTTGGCTAAACGGCTTTTCTTTCTGCACTGCGGACTTTCAGCCCTCCCAGAAACTTTTTTGCACCACAAGCCACAAAATCCTGGCTACGGGCCTGCTTATGGGTACCAACCGCCATCATCCTGGGCAGGGGGGTGGTGGAGAAGAGGCCTCATTCTGCAGCCCCCCCCAGCCCCACTCGGCCCCTCGACTCACCGTCGCATTTCAAGCCCTGCCTCGCGAGGCCCCAGAGCAGCGTGCCGCAGTGGTCACAGAAGGTCGGGCTCTTGTAGTTGTAGACTTTAAAGCGGTGGGGCATGTCGATCTTAAACCTCTCCTTGTGGAACTGCAAGAAAGGGAGCAAACACTTGAACACACACAGAGGTACTTTATACCGAATCAGCCCATCAGCCCGTCAAGGTCCGAATTGTCTGCTCAGACTGGCAGCAGCTCTCCAGGGTCACAGGTAGAAGTCTTTCACATCTGGCCCCACTGGTGGACCTCCTGATGGCACCTGGGTTTTGGCTGCTGTGTGACACAGAGTGTTGGACTGGATGGGCCACTGGCCTGATCCAACATGGCTTCTCTTCTGTTTTTATGGCCCCGCTGCTGGACATCCTGATGGCACCAACGTTTTGGCCACCATGTGACACAGAGTGTTGGACTGGATGGGCCACTGGCCTGATTCAACATGGCTTCTCTTCTGTTTTTATGGCCCTGCTGGTGGACCTCCTGATGGCACCTGGTGTTTTTGGCCACTGTGTGACA